CTACTTCATCCTTCCCGAACTACTAAACACCTCCCCCTCCCCTCTTCAGCGTGCAGGGAGAAGAGAAAACAGTACAATCTAAATTGCGCACTTCAGTAACTGCGGGAACGAAACTAACAGGCAATTTCCAAGCCAGGTTTTACGGCAATTACTAAACCTCGGCTCGGTTGGCATCACTCCATACGCCAAAAATTTTTATGCGTTTTTTCCGTGCGGTGCTAGAGGCTGCAAAAGGCAGCAAAAACGCATATTGCAACGACTCTGTCAGTGTGTGTGTGTGTGTGTATGTTTGTGTGTGTGCGCTCGTCTGTCCGGGTGTTTCAACTCGCCAACCGCGCAAGCATTGAAGCTGAAATTTTGCCAGTGTGTTCCCCAGCCAAGTGCCACCCCAGGACCGCGATATCAACTCTCACACACGTCTGGGCCCCGTGTACGAGCAAGTGAAAGTTTTGGCGCGAAAATTGCTAACTCAGGAAATAAAAAGCTAGAAAGCTGAAATCTTGGGGAATGTTCCGTACCCGTCTACGGCAGAAAGATTTCAAATTCAGCTGTCCAGGTGTACCCGGGGTTTACATACGGGCACGTGAAAATTATGGCGGGAAAATTCATAACTCGAATATGAGAAAAGCTAGAAAGTTGAAACTTTGGGGAAATATTCCCTACTCATGCACAACCAAAAGTTTTCAAACTCAGCTCCTTAAGACTGCCTGGGGCTTATGTACGGGCACGTGAAAATTTTTGGCGCGAAAATTATTAATCCGGGAACGGGGAAAGCTAGAAAGCTGAAACTTTGAGGGAATTTCTCTACTCATGTACGAGTAAAATCAGGTGGTTAAAAGCGCCCGAGCCCAACTCATGTGCAACTGAAAGATTTTAAATTTTACTCTTCTAGTGTGGCCTTTTTTGCGGACCAGCAACTTTCCATTTGTCGGGTCACTGAAGCCGACATTTACAACTGATATACCACATAGTTGCGCAATTAACTGCCCGAACTTCGAGGGTCAGTATGTCACAGGGTTAGCTACTGTGATTCTTTGCGATCTTGTTAGGGCACGAAAAGTGCAAAAACGCGTAATCGCACCGGCCGGCCTGGTGCGTTCCAGCCTGGGTTTCTGCCGATGACGGGTCTCCTTACCCCACCGCGGCAAAGGGCGTTGGGTAGCGCAGGTAGGGTGGGAGTAAGGGGTGGTATGTATGGGTTTCGAGGGCGGGCGTTCGAGCCGGGGAGGGGTTTGGTGGGTTGTTGAATGGCTACGTGGCGTGGGTTTGTTTAACAGTTTGCTTGACCAAGTAAGGGAGAAGGGGAAAGGGTGATAGATGGAAAGGTAGAGCGGATATCTGGGATAAGGAGGGGGCTGAAATATTGTTTGCATCCAGAGCGCTCTGATAGTAAGGATAGAGCGGAGTTCAGATGTTGCTTGACAGGTAGGACTTGAGGGCAGAGTAAGGAAGGAAAACGGGGATACAAGCTGAGACAAAAACTGGAGAATATAATAAAGAGAAAGCGCAACAGAGCACTACAGAAATAAATAGTAACGCGCAGCAGAGCAGCCGGTGCGATCATGCGTTTTGTGCAATTTCGTTCACCGAACGATTGCCTACTAATGATTTTCGCTGCCTTGCACGTTGGTCTATGCAGAAATAGTTAAAATGTTGTCTGGTTCTTAAGTTGCGGAATTTCCATCAAAAATTTCACGCACACGAGATAATAACTTCTCTATCAAAACTTTCACGGGGCTGTATGTGGTACCCAGGGTGCGTGAAGGCCGAGTTCAAATTTGCGGGGTCGTACGTTTGTAGAGGGAATCACCCTAAAAATTGAGATTCTCAATTTCCGCGATTGCCGAGATAATAATTTTCCCCGCCGAAACTTTCACAAGGCCGTAAGTGATGCTCGGGCGCACGGGAAACTGAATTTAAAATTGCAGGATTGTATGTAGACAGAAGATATTACCACAAAATTTTAACTTCCTGGCTTTTATGGTTCTCGAGACAATAATTTCCCAGCCAATACCTTCACTGGGTCGTAGGTGAAACCCGGGAGCGCAGGAACGCTGAATTTGAATTTGCGAGGTCGTGCGTGAGTAGGGGTCATTACTCCAAAATTTTAGCTTCCTAGAACCCGTGGTTCCCGAGATAATAATTTATCTGCCAAAACTTTCATGGGGCCGTATATGTTACCCGTTGGCACGGAAAGGTTAAATTTAAATTTTCTAGGTCACGCGTGAGCAAGGAACATGACCATAAAATTTTAGCTTCCTAGCTTCCGTGGTTCCCGAAATAATAATTTATCCGCCAAAACTTTCACGGGACCGTAGATGGTACCTGAGAGCGCGGAAACGCTGAATTTGAATAGGCAAGGTTGAGCATGGGCAGGGGCTATTACACTAAAATTTCAGCTTCGTATATTCAGTGGTTCCCGAGATAATAATTTACCCGCAAAATTTTCATAGAGCCGTTCGTGTTACCCGTGAGCCAGAGAAAGCTCAATTTGAATAGGCGAGGTCGAGCGTGGGCAGGGGGTCATTACTCTAAAATTTCAGCTTCGTACATTCAGTGGTTCCCGTGTTAATAACTTTGCCCGCCAAAACTTTTACGGGGCCATATGTGTTACCCGCGGGTACGGGAAGGCTGAATTTGAATGGACAAAGTTGAGCGTGGGCAGGGAGTCATTACCCTAAAATTTCAGCCTCCTAAACTCCGTGGTTCCCGGGAT